GCAATCTACTGTAGAGATAGCCTGCAGAGCTCTATCATACTATCCAGGTCTGTGGCCAAACAGTTTGAGCTTCTACTTCTAAAAATCCACCTTTCCAGAAATAAATCTCTCACTGTTGCCGCTTGCTACAGACCCCCCTCAGCCCCCAGCTGTGCCCTGGACACCATATGTGAACTGATTGCCCCCCATCTATCCTCAGAGTTTGTACTGCTTGGTGACCTAAACTGTGATATGCTTAACACCCCGGCCAACCTACAATCTAAACTAGATGCCCTCAATCTCACACAAATTATCAACGAACCTACCAGGTACAACCCTAAATCTGTAAACATGGGCACCCTCATAATATAATAATAAGCCATTTAGCAGACGCTTTTATCCAAAGCGACTTACAGTCATGCGTGCATACATTTTTTTTTGTGTATGGGTGGTCCCGGGGATCGAACCCACTACCTTGGCGTTACAAGCGCCGTGCTCTACCAGCTGAGCTACAGAGGACCACCTCATAGATATCATCCTGACAAATGTACCCTCTAAATACACCTCCGCTGTCTTCAACCAGGATCTCAGCGATCACTGCCTTATTGCTTGCGTCCGTAATGGGTCCGCGGTCAAACGACCACTCCTCATCACTGTCAAACGCTCCCTAAAACACTTTAGCGAGCAGGCCTTTCTAATTGACCTGGCCCGGGTATCCTGAATGGATATTGACCTCATTCCATCAGTAGAGGATGCCTGGTTGTTCTTTAAAAGTGCACTGCACTGAGGCTAGGAAACACTGTCACCACCGATAAATCTACAATAATCGAGAATTTCAACAAGCATTTTGCTACGGCTGGCCATTCTTTCCACCTGGCTACCACTACCCCGGCCACCAGCTCTGCACCCTCTGCTGTAACTTGCCCAGGCCCCCCCCCCCCCCCCCCCCCCCCGCTTCTCCTTCACACAAATTCAGACAGATGATGTTCTGAAAGAGCTGAAAAATCTGGACCCCTACAAATCAGCTGGGCTAGACAATCTGGGCCCTTTCTTTCTTTCTAAAATTAGCCGCCGAAATTGTCGCAACCCCTATTACTAGCCTGTTCAACCTCTCTTTCGTAACGTCTGAGATCCCCAGAGATTGGAAAGCTGCCGCGGTCATCCCCCTCTTCAAAGGGGGTGACACTCTAGATCCAAACTGTTACAGACCTATATCCATCCTGCCCTGCCTTTCGAAAGTATTTGAAAGCCAAGTTAACAAACAGATCACCGACCATTTCGAATCCCACCGTACCTTCTCCGCTATGCAATCCGGTTGCCGAGCTGGTCATGGGTGCACCTCAGCCACGCTCAAGGTCCTAAACGATATTATAACCGCAATCGATAAAAGACAGTACTGCGCAGCCGTCTTCATCGACCTGGCCAATGCTTTCGACTCTGTCAACCACCACATTCTTATTGGCAGACTAAATAGCCTTGGATTCTCAAATGACTGCCTCGCCTGGTTCACCAACTACTTCTCAGATAGAGTTCAATGTGTCAAATCGGAGGGCCTGTTGTCTGGACCTCTGGCAGTCTCTATGGGGGTGCCACAGGGTTCAATTCTCGGGCCGACTATTCTCTGTGTATATCAATGATGTTGCTCTTGCTGCTGGTGACGCTCAGATCCACCTCTATGCGGACGACACCATTTTGTATACATCTGGCCCTTCATTGGACACTGTGTTAACAAACCTCCAAACGAGCTTCAATGCCATACAACACTCCTTCCGTAGCCTCCAAGACTCTTAAACACTAGTAAAACTAAATGCATGCTCTTCAACCGAACGCTGCTTGCACCCGCCCACCCGACTAGAATCACTACTCTCGGCGGGTCTGACCTAGAGTATGTGGACAACTACAAATACCTAGGTGTCTGGTTAGACTGTAAACTCTCCTTCCAGACTCACATGAAGCATCTCCAATCAAAAGTTAGATCTAGAATCGGCTTCCTATTTCGCAACAAAGCCTCCTTCACTCATGCTGCCAAACATGCCCTCGTTAAACTGACTATCCTACCGATCCTTGACTTCGGCGATGTCATTTACAAAATAGCCTCCAACACTCTACTCAGCAAATTGGATGTAGTCTATCACAGTGCCGTCCGTTTTGTCACCAAAGCCCCATATACTACCCACCATTGTGACCTGTACGCTCTCGTTGGCTGGCCCTCACTACATATTCGTTGCCAAACCCACTGGCTCCAGGTCATCTATAAATCACTGCTAGGCAAATCCCGCCTTATCTTAGCTCATTGGTCACCATAGCAACACCCGTAGTATGCGTTCCAGCAGGTATATCTCACTGGTCATCCCCAAAGCCAACACCTCCTTTGGCCGCCATTCCTTCCAGTTCTCTGCTGCCAATGACTGGAACGAACTGAAAAAATCTCTGAAGCTGGAGACTCTTATCTCCCTCACTAACTTTAAGCATCAGTTGTCAAAGCATCTTACCGATCACTGCACCTGTACACAGCCATTCTGTAATTAGCCCACGCAACTACCTCATCCCCATATTGTTATTTATTTTGCTAATTTGCACCCCAGTATCTCTGTTTGCACATAATCTTTTGCACATCTATCATTCCAGTGTTAATACGAAATTGTAACTATTTTGTACTATGGGCTATTTATTGCCTTACCTCCATAACTTACTACATTCGCACACACTGTATATATATTTTCTGTTGTATTTTTGACTTTATGTTTTGTTTACCCCATATGTAACTCTGTGTTGTTGTTTTTATTGCACTGCTTTGCTTTATCTTGGCCAGGTCGCAGTTGTAAATGAGAACTTGTTCTCAACTGGCTCACCTGGTTAAATAAAGGTGAAAAAAAAAAAATATATACAAGAATGGACAGTCATAAGGTTCCTCGTAAACTTCCTCATAATGTTTAAAATATCCAATGTTGGGTTATGCTTGCAAAGTTCACAGTACAAACTTTAGAGTCACTTCTAGAATTCTTATCAGCATGGAGAGGGTTTCTCCTTAGAGAACTACACGACTACATGGTTCCCTGCTGCAGCTTGAATTCTAAGACGTAGTTATCATTGCTGTCACTCAGATGGACCACAGTTACCTACAGAGACAGAGCTATTCAGGAAGTACTTTATACAAGGGTCAACCAAAGTTCCCAGGCTTGGATATTGGTCATTTTGAGGCCTTAAAGGGATACTTCAGGATTTTGGCAATTCCTTCAAACTGCCCCGTGTAGCTCAGTTGGTAGAGCATGGCGCTTGCAACGCCAGGGTTGTGGGTTCCATTCCCACGGGGGGCCAGTATGAAAAAAAAAAAAATGCACTAACTGTAAGTCGCTCTGGATAAGAGCATCTGCTAAATGACTAAAATGTAATATGAAAATGGTATTAACCAGTTCATCTGACTGGGGAAGTAGATAAAAGGCCTCATTGCCAAAATCTCGAAGTATCCCTTTAACTGAGAATGAGGAAGTTGTGATGACAGAGGTGTGATATGTCCATTGTGGTTGTATGTCTTAGTTATGGGACATTGTTGCTTTATTTCCCCACAACACAATTTACACAATTGGGAATTGATCTATTGCATTAGCATTGCATCAGACAGAGTTGATTAGTTAAAATCCTAAGATATGAGACAGCAGCTTTCACAGTCAATGAACTAATCAACATCACATATGGCTGCCATGAGGCCTTGACGAGACAATCAGCCACAACAACAACACACTAGAGAATACACAGACTCAGACTGATGTAAATCAGAACCTTTTCACTGTGCTGTTTTCCCGGATGTTTGCTTGGATTCAGGAATGCTATGTTGATTCCTATTCTCAATTTGGTGCAGGCTTGAAGCCCTGGGTTATGTTCAAGAGGACAACTTGTTCTGGGCAGCCATCTTCTAACATGATGTTTTATCATCTATGTGCAGTTCTAGCTTCTTTGGACTTAACTCCCCATAGCCCTTCCAGAAAAACATTAAAACTGTATGTACTCGCTAGTCTCTCGTGAGTTGTGACAGAAGAGCTGGCCAGATCATACACAAGATGTTTGGTTGTCGAAGATTATATGATACCTTACTTTTATTGATATGAACAACATGTACTCAACAGAAATCACTTTCCAAGGGGTTAGGCTAAAGCTTGTGAAGCTGGTAGCCATCGACATTTACACACATCCTTGAGCAAGGCAGTTAACCCCCAACAACAACAATTGCGCCCCGGGTGCTGATGGCGTGGATTAAGGCAGCCCCCCGCACCCATCTGATTCAGAGGGGTTGGGTTAAATGCGGAAGACACATTTCAGTTGTGAAGGTATCCCCCTTTACCTTTCCCCAGAGTATTACACATTCACACATAAACACCCATAACGCAGCATTCAAATATTTGATATACTGTCATGATGCTAACATGTGTTGTTCTCTTGCAGGACACTCGGTCCATGCTCTGGACTCTGGGCGGACTTCAACGTTGATTTATTCTGCTGAGCTTTCAATTCCTTATCAGTTCAATCCCAAAGGCTCAGATAAGGAACAATGTGTGCATTGGAGGAAACATGGTATATCGTAACAGAGGTTAACATTTAAATAGACTCGCTGGCCAGCACGGATGCGAGATTTGGTTCTGGGTGTCGAGATTAGAAGAAAATAATTTATTCACAGTACATCATGTTAGTTTATCCAGTTCCATGGTTCAAAGTGATCATTTCTGGGTCAAAAACTGGGTCCTTGAGCCGTTGCTCCTCTAAGTCTCATAGTCTTTTTTGAAACATACTTTCTGTTATTGAGATAAGACAGTGAATAGGAGACAAGAAAGATAGCAAGTCAGAAGGGCAGTGGGTTGGATTCGAACCCATGCCAACTCTGGTAGCCTAGGCCAATACTTCTCAAACCTCTCCTCGGGAACCCCCAGACGTTTCACAATTTTGTTGTAGCCCTTACTAGCTCACAGATTCACCCTAGTCAAGCGCATGTTGATTAGTTGACAAGTTGAATCAGGAGTGCTAGCTCTGGAATAGATCAAATACATGGAACGTCTGGGGGTCCCTGAAGAGAGGTTTGAGAACCACTGGCCTATGCACTTAGCGCTGCACCACCCAGGCCACTACGTTTCATAGTCCTCCTCCAGGTCCAGATGGCTGAGACTGTGGGAGGGGATGTAGACAGATTTACTCTTCTTTTTGCTTTTCTTCTTCTGCTGTCTTGGGTCCTGAGCCCCGGCCAGAGAGAGGTAAGAGGCGATGCTGTTCCTGACTCCATAGCTCACCATGTTGTCCCTGTTCTGCTGCCCCTGGGGAGCCCCTGCACTGATCAGATCTTTGCTGTTGAGAGAGACGGACAGACAGAGCGAGAGAGGTGATTAGAACATGTTTGAGCCAATCATCATCAGGATTCAGGATGCAGTCACATCTGCCATGTTTTCCATTGGCCAAGTCAAAAGCAGGACTACAATTTGATTGTAGAGACCTGAGAGCTAGAACGAATGATACTATAAACTACTGAACTACGAGTCCGTACCGGTCTACTTTCTTCCAGTCAAAGTTGTTGCGGCGCATCACTACAGGGGGTGGCTGAGGGGTGGTGTCGAGGAGGTTGGCGTTCCCACAGAGACACGGGCCAGTGAGAACACAGCACAGCCCATCTGCAGAATCTAGGAGATCAGAGATGGACTGTGTTAGACACAGATATTCCCTGTGTTAGACACAGACATATAGACATCCCCTGTGTTAGACACAGACATATACCCATCCACATACACTATGTACTGAAATGTACAAACGCTCGTGACATGAACATAACCACACACACACACACACACACACACACACACACACACACACACACCTGCCATTTGAAAACATTCATGTTACAGTCAATATGAAAGACCTAGCCTCAGTAAAAAAATATGTCCAAATGGTCATCAGCAACAAAACCATCACTTCCTCTTTTGTTCTCAGTGTGTACTCTAGGCCAAAGCACAGCGGAACGATAGCAAGCATCTGATAAGAAGAAAGCGATTTGAAAATGCTTGAGGTTATTTTCAGTGTGTCTGTCTCTGTTTTTAGACTCACCAGAGTAGTGGTTGACCATCTCTTCCAGGCACTGGAAGGTCAGACGAGGAGAGATATAGTACCAGCTGTTTTCCAAGCGATAGATTTTATAGTGCTCGATGGATCTGTGCTTTACAGACATGGAGTAGACACCTGCACATATAATACACAGACGTTGTCACACCCTGATCTGTTTCACCTGTCTTGTGCTTATCTCCACCCCCCACCAGGTGTCTCCCATTTGTTCCCATTATCCCCTATGTATTTATTCCAGTGTTTTCTGTCTGCCTGTTGCCAGTTTGTCTTGTCTCGTCAAATCTATCAGCGTGTTGTTCCGTATGCCTGTTTTTTTTCTAGTCCTCCCGGTTCCGACCTTTTCTGCCTGCCCTGACACTGAGCCCGCCTGCCGCCCTGTACCTTTTGGAATCAGACCTGGTTTACGAACTTCTGCCTGTCCTCGACCTGCCTCTTGCCTGCCCCTAGTATTTTAATAAATATCGGAGACTCTAACCATCTGACTCCTGTGTCTGCATCTGGGTCTCATCCTGTGTCCTTATAGATGTAATATCTTAATTTGAGCCAGTTTGCTACAGCAGGAAATAATACTGCAGCAACAGGAAATATGAATGATTATGTGGATTATAATTAATGGACATTTTTGTAGGGGTTGATACATTGTTCGTAAGGGAAAATCAAGTCTAAAATGTCAAAGTGGAAATGACAAACTACGGAATCCTTTTTTAACCTCAAATACACTACAAGTTTGAAAGTTATCCTGCAACAGGGTGATCAAATGAAGATCCTACATCTGTAGGCCTAGATAGATCCTGATAGATACCCATGTCCTCTCATCTTACCGACTTCCTGTATAACTTGGTAGGGCTTGAAAAAGTAATGGACTCACCTCTCTGCTGGGTGCTCTCTCTGATCATGAAGGATCCCACTCTGTTTCCAGGGAGACGAAGTAACTCCTCTGCCTTCTGCCTTGCCACTCCCTCAAACAGCCATCTTAGAACACACATTTACATACTGTATGATATACAGTAGGCATATGATATATTATGATATGATGTGATAGTTTTTCTGATTGGGATGAACTAATTTATTATTTAATTCTATTGACACTTACGATGGTCTTTAGGAAGAAACATTTTAGACTCTATATGATTCTTGGTAGACTGAATGTTATGCAGTGGGAGACAGCAGTGCTTACCCATGGTAGACTTTGGCGACATGGTTATTAGGGATGTAGTTCTCCCTTCCTGATTGGCCAGACCGGACTCTCCACCAGTTACCTTCCCTAAAGAACACGCACACATTAAAAGCGGAACTGTGACTGAACAAACTCTGAAATTGTAGTTCTCCATATTGTATTAAAGCTGCAAGACAATAATGCTATGCATCTAATTTCCCCCAATGTGTTCATTCTCTATCGTGCATGTTATTGCTTGCACAGTTTTGTATAGTAATGTCGCACTGATGTAAGCTAGCTTGCATGGCTTTGTATTGTATTTTGGTTTGCACTGTGGCTGGCTGGGAGTTTTTCTGTGTTGTCCTGTGTCATCTTGGTATCTCTGTCTATAACACAGGAGGCTGCTGAGGGGACAACGGCTCATAATAGTATCCGGAATGGAGAAAATGGAATGGCATCAAACACCTGGAAACCATGTATTTGATTCCATTCCAGTAATTCTGCTCCAGTTATTACCACTAGCCCATTCTCCCCAATTAAGGTGCCACCAACCTCCTGTGGTCTGTAACTGTGCATCTATCAATTTCTGCTCTAGGAAGCTTTAGTACATGTATGTGCAGACTACGGGTTTATACAGTAATTGCTCTCACAGACAGACAAAGTGTCGACTGTACTTACTGAGACAAGACCCTCAGCTTCTCTCCCATCCTGAAGATCGGCTCACTGATGTCTGGAAAAGGATAGTCATGGAGAACGACAAGTGTGTCGTCTTCTCCTGCTCAGGAACCACCGATGTTTCACAATTAGATCAACATTAACATTAGCAGAGGCATCATTTAGCGACACAAGGGAAATAATTGTATTTTACTTCTAATTGACTTCCAAGTGAACGATATCAAACATGTAGACACTTTGGTAAAGAGTATGTTGACTGAAATCCTAGTATTGTAGTGTGATCATCATATCTGTTAAAGCCTCATCACATTATATTTACATTATGATATAGCAAATAATTACCCTTTAGTGCACTGTCATGGTAGTTTGCATTTGTTTCGTTCCTATTTTCCCCCATCACATTCCCCATAGTGGCACTCCAATGGGTTCAAGCTCTGAAGACAGACAGACAGACAACATACAGTAGCTATTCATCAAGTCATATCGAGACGCATACTTCCTACTATTGCTGGCCAGTGAAGCCATTGTCCCTGTGTGTGTGTGTGTGTGTGTGTGTGTGTCTCTGTGTGTGTGTGTGTGTGTCTCTGTGTGTGTGTGTGTGTGTGTGTCTGTGTCTGTGTGTGTCTGTGTCTGTGTGTGTGTCTGTGTCTGTGTCTGTGTCTGTGTCTGTGTCTGTGTGTGTGTGTGTGTGTGTGTGTGTGTGTGTGTGTGTGTGTGTGTGTGTGTGTGTGTGTGTGTGTGTGTGTGTGTGTGTGTGTGTGTGTGTGTGTGTGTGTGTGTGTGTGTGTGTGTGTGTGTGTTGTAACTTCCTACTAACGGCCACAACGCTATCTGGACCAGGACACACACAGTTGAATGGGGAAGTTGAGGACAGACTCTGTTTCTCGTGCTCTGCACAACTCTCCATACTACCCTTTCTTTCCTCTTTCTAAATCAATACTTATGTTACACAATGTGAAGGTCCACTTGTTTGGCTTTCACCCATAACCCAATGTACTGGGGAATTCTGATCAAATTCAGCTTTTCCAGGTTTCTATCTAGCCTATCCAGTATTCCATAGCTTCACATTATGGAGTGGGCTCCGTAGTAAACTGGAGTAGCAGGGATTGACATTAAGGGTTGCCCTATTGCCCGGCGCAAGTGACTTGAGCAGTCGCGCATGTTGAGCCTGCTCTGAGGTTGCCCCATTGGAAAGGTTTTTCTTTTTACTGATAACAACCAAAATGATAAGAATTCCAGTAGTCAAGTCTTTCTGGTCAACCCCCCTCCACCCCCATCCCTATCCAAAATAAATACACACCCTATTAAATAATAGGCCATATTAGTAAAACTGTAGTAGCCAATAGTCCCTCTGCTGAGAAGAGAACATAGGAAACAGAGGCACAGTGGAAACAATCAGAAGATAATATACTACATGACCAAAAGTATGTGGACACCTGCTTGTCGAACATGTCATTCCAAAATCACGGACATTAATATGGAGTTGGTCCCCCCTTTGCTGCTATAACAGCCTCCACTCTTCTGGGAAGGCTTTCCACTAGATGTTGGACCTGGCTAGGCAAGTTCTTCCACACCAATCTCGACAAACCATTTCTGTATGGACCTCGCTTTGTGCATGGGGGCATTGTCATGCTGAGACAGGAAAGGGCCTTCTCCAAACTGTTGCCACAAAGTTGGAAGCACAGAATCATCTAGAATGTAATTGTATGCTGTAGCGTTAAGATTTCCTTTCACTGGAATTAAGGGGCCTAGCCCAAACGATGAAAAACAGCCCCAGACCATTATTCCTCCTCCACCAAACTTTACAGTTGGCACTATGCATTGGGGCAGGTAGCGTTCTTCTGGCATCCGCCAAACCCAGATTTGTCCGTCGGGCTGCCAGATGGTGAAATGGGATTCATCACTCCAGAAAACGCGTTTCCACTGCTCCAGAGTCCAATGGCTGCAAGCTTTACACTACTCCAGCCGATGCTTAGCATTGCGCATGGTGATCTTAGGCTTGTGTGTGGCTGCTCGGCTATGGAAACCCATTTCATGAAGCTCCAGACGAACAGTTATTGTGCTGACGTTGATTCCAGAGGCAGTTTGGAAATCGGTGGTGAGTGTTGCAATCGAGGACAGACGATTTTTTACACGCTACGCACTTCAGCACTTGGCGGCCCCGAAAGGTGGCATCCCATGACTTTGCCACGTTGAAAGTCACTGAGCTCTTTAATAAGGCCATTCTACTGGCAATGTTTGGAGATTGCATGGCTGTGTGCTCGATTTTATACACCTGTCAGCAACTGGTGTGGCTGAAATAGCCGAATCCACAAATTTGAAGGGGTGTCCACATACTTTTGTGTATATAGTGTATCTTGGTTAATTTGGATGATATGATAGCAAGTATTTCTCATGCTGTGCATCAATGCTATTTATAGTCAGAGTAAAAAAGTATATTTGGACATATGTGACTAGCAGTAATTGTCAGAAATAACTTATGGCTAAATTACCAGTGGTGGAAAAAGTACCCAATTGTCAGACTCAAGTAAAAGTGAAAGTCACCCAGTAAAATACTATTTGAATAAAAGTCTAAAAGTATTTGGTTTTGAAATATACTTAAGTATCAAAAGTAAAAGTATAAATCATTTCAAATTCCTTATATTAAGCAAACCAGAAGGCACCATTTTCTTGTTTTTTAAATTTACAAATAGCCAGGGGCACGCTCTATCACTCAGACATAATTTGCAAACGAAGCATGTGTGAAGTGAGTCCGCCAGATCAGAGGCAGTAGGGATGACTAGGGATGTTCTCTTGATAATTATAATATTTTGCTGTCCTGCTGAGCATTCAACATGTAACTAGTACTTTTGGGTGTCAGGGAAAATGTATGGAGTAAAAAGTACATCATTTTCTTTAGGAATGTAGTGAAGTAAAAATAAAAGTTGTCAAAAATATAAATACTCAAGTAAAGTACAGATACTCCAAAAAACTACTTAAGTAATACTTTCAAGCATTTTTACTTAAATACTTTACACCACTGTAAATTACCTTTTAAAATGTGTGTTGTTACTACTACAGCACATATTTAAAGCACAGATATATAGGCTTGTAACACTTTTACCATACACATACTGCAATAAATGTGTGACATAGCCTGCATAACTCACCTAACTGCTCCTGAGTTCTTTGGAGTTGTCAGGCTTGGAGGGCAAGTAGCAGGGGATCCTTGTTGAACATGTTCTTTGGCTCTGTGTGTTGGAGATCAGCCAGAGGGAGCATGTCAACTACACTGATATATTGTTACTAATGACCGTCAGAGTTTCACAGTTCACACCCTCAACTGATGCACTGTCACAGTGAGGCAAGAGCACTTCCTCTGGCCACACACACAGTCACAACACAAGCCACTGGTTGGGCTCACACACATTGACCGAGTTCCAAAGTATCAAATATGTGATGCATTGTGTTTAAATTGTGAAACAGAGCAAAAGACATATGAGAATGTTCCCGTTCACAGGAAAGAACTAAGAGAACGTACTAACTAAAAGTACCTGCTGGTTTTAGCGTTTAGAAATGACCAAAAGAAGCAGGGTTATTTCCAAGCAAATATTTTTGCTGTAAGCATCACATACTTAGCTTAAATAAAATTGCTTTGAACTACATAGACAGTAATTTCCTTACAATAAGTGAACAGTTAAAAGTAGGACTCTAGCCACCTCCAGATCTTATTACTGCCGAATATTTGCCTATCTTGTCTGGTCATAAGAAGGATACTCCAGGGTCACCTTCTAAAATGTCCCAAAGCATTTAATAATTTCAACAATTAAATGCTGGACAGGGGTCAGCTACCTGCAGTTGCTAGATGTGTTTATTTTGGCCCTATGTTGTCTTCCTTTTTAGCTATACTGAACAAAAAAATTAACGCAACATGCAACAATTTCAAAGATTTTACTGAGTTACAGTTCATAGAAGGAAATCAGTCAATTGAAATAAATTCATTAGGCCCTAAGCTATGGATTTCACATGACTGGGCAGGGGCGCAGACATGGGTGAGCCTGGGAGGGAATAGGCCCACCCACTTGGGAGCCAGGCCCATCCAATGGGGAGCCAGGTCCAGCCAATCAGAATTAGTTTTTCCCCACACAAGGGCTTTATTACAGACAGAAATAGTCCTCAGTGACCTTTTATTGTCCCCAGCACAAGGTGCACATGGGTAATGATCATGCTGTTAAATGGCTGCTGCAGGCTGCAAGCTATTTTTCCCCAATAGCACTGTGGTGAAATGGCTAGCTGCTGCATCGGCCTCTGACATCATTACCTGTCAAAGAAATAAATAAAAAGTATAAACGATGTTGTGGCAGAGTTGAGGGTTTATGTAGCATTATTTTTGTACTGCTCTTTGCATCCAAGCATTCAGCAAAGTAGAGGTGACGTGTCCACTCTCTTGCCTGGCCACTATGTTAAGAATTAAAAGTGTTGAAGCATAAAAGAGGAGGGTAGAAAGGCCTTAACATGAGAGGAGAAAGTAAGGAAGGTAAGGTAAGGTAGTAAGGAAAGTAAGTAAGGAGAGGAGGGACTGAGGGTAGGAGATAGAGAAAGTCATGGTGGGAGAGAGCGAGCAATGATGCCAGCACAAACATATTGAAGGGGCAGCTAACAAAGAGGGCTCTGACTCCGTGTGTGTGGTCAGTGTTGCGTTTTAAGAGCAAAACCTTTAAGGAAACAGAATCACAACATGTTTATTGTATACATCACCACTGTCTTGAAGTCTCTTTCCATCCTTCCATGTTCCTTTTAGCAAAGCCCTATAGTTCTCCACTCCACAACAAAGAGTCATTTCTACCTCTCTACTGATGGTTTTAATACCAGAGTCTGTGGATCTACCCTTTCCTCCTAGACTGTCTGTCTTCTTATCAGCCCAACAGGCCTGTTGTAGATTAAGCTGTAGAATGGAGAGAGCTTCTTAAACAGTGTGTCACAGATTATCGGTACCCACAAATAGGATACAGGTCTACTCTTTGGATATGTAACACGTGTTTGTGTATGAAGTAGTCACGTGCACATTTTTCTGTGTAGAACTTCTCACTGCGCTGGAATGTTTTTTTTTTTTTTTACCCCAGTAACCGTTTTTGATTAAATATGGCGCCTTGTTTTTGCCAAAAATTGTGTAAATGTGAAACTGATGTGAGGTATTAGCTTTTAACAGAGGTATATAGATGATATCTATATGAAGTAGGCCTAAATAATAAGTATCTACAGTGGCTTGCGAAAGTATTCACCCCCCTTGGCATTTTTCCTATTTTGTTGCCTTACAACCTGGAATTAAAATTTATTTTGGGGGGGTTTGTATCATTTGATTTACACAACATACCTACCACTTTGAAGATGCAAACATTTTGGGGGGTGAAACAAACAAAAAATAAGACAAAAAAACAGAAAACTTGAGCGTGCATAACTATTCACCCCCCCAAAGCCACCTTTTGCAGCAATTACAGCTGCAAGTCTCTTGGGATATGTCTCTATAAGCTTGGCACATCTAGCCACTGGGATTTCTGCCCATTCTTCAAGGCAAAACTGCTCCAGCTCCTTCAAGTTGGATGGGTTCCGCTGGTTAACAGTAATCTTTAAGGCATACCACAGATTCTCAATTGGATTGAGGTCTGGGCTTTAACTAGGCTATTCCAAGACATTCAAATGTTTCCCCTTAAACCACTCGAGTGTTGCTTTAGCAGTATGCTTAGGTCATTGTCCTGCTGCAAGGTGAACCTCCGTCCCAGTCTCAAATCTCTGGAAGACTGAAACAGGTTTCCCTCAAGAATTTGCCTGTATTTAGCGCCATCCATCATTCCTTCAATTCTGACCAGTTTCCCAGTTCCTGCCAATGAAAAACATCCCCACAGCATGATGCTGCCACCACCATGCTTCACTGTGGGGATGGTGTTCTCGGGGTGATGAGAGGTGTTGGGTTTGCGCCAGACATAGCGCTTTCCTTGATGGCCAAAAAGCTAAATTTTAGTCTCATCTGACCGAGTACCTTCTTCCACATGATTTAATGGTGCTCAATGTTGTGGATGTTGATGATGATGTTGATGGGATGTTCAAAGTTTCTGATATTTTTTTATAACCCAACCCTGATCTGTACTTCTCCACAACTTTGTCCCTGACCTGTTTGGAGAGCTCCTTGGTCTTCATGTTGTCGCTTGCTTGGTGGTGCCCCTTGCTTAGTTGTGTTGCAGACTCTGGGGCCTTTCAGAACAGGTGTATATATACTGAGATCATGTGACAGATCATGTGACACTTAGATTGCACAAAGGTGGAATTTATTTACCTAATTATGTGACTTCTGAAGGTAATTGGTTGCACCAGATCTTATTTAGGGGCTTCATAGCAAAGGGGGTGAATACATATGCACTCACCACTTTTCCGTTATTTATTTTTAAATTATTTTTTTCATTTCACTTCTCCAATTTGGACTATTTTGTGTATGTCCATTACATGAAATCCAAATAAAAATCCATTTAAATTACAGGTTGTAATGCAACAAAATAGGAAAAACGCCAAGGGGGATGAATACTTTTGCAAGGCACTGTATAGTTCACACACAACAAACTTGGATATGTCCATTTGAAACCATCAAATTTACATTTTAGCAGACGCTCTTATCCAGAGTAAGTTAGTAAGTGCATACATTATTTTTTTATTTTATATACTGGCCACTGTGGGAATCGAACCCATAACCCTGGCATTGCAAACGCCATGCTCTACCAACTGAGCTACATCCCTGCCGGCCATTCCCTCCCCTACCCTGGGCCAATTGTGCGCCACTCCATGGGTCTCCTGGTCACGGCCGGCTACGACAGAGCCTGGATTCGAACCAGGATCTCTAGTGGCACCTAATTATGTGGATATATTGAAGCAACATCTCAAGACATCAGTCAGGAAGTTAAAGCTTGGTTGCAAATGGGTCTTCCAAATGGACAATGACCCCAAAGTTGTGGCAAAATGGCTTAAGGACAACAAAGTCAAGGTATTGGAGTGGCCATCGCAAAGCCCTCACCTCAATCATATAGAAAATTTGTGGGCAGAACTGAAAAAGTGTGTGCAAGCAAGGAGGCCTACAAACCTGACTCAGTTACAACAGCTCTGTCAGGAGGAATGAGCCACAATTCACCCAACGTATTGTGGGAAGCTTGTGGAAGGCTACCCAAAACGTTTGACCCAAGTTAAACAATTTAAAGGCAATGCTACCAAATACTAATTGAGTGTATGTAAACTTCTGACTCACTGGGAATGTGATGAAAGAAATAAAAGCTGACATTTACAAAATAGCCTCCAACACTCTACTCAGCAAATTGGATGTAGTCTATCACAGTGCCATCCGTTTTGTCTCCAAAGCCCCATACACTACCCACCACTGTGACCTGTACGCTCTTGTTGGCTGGTCCTCACTACATGTTCGTCGTCAAACCCACTGGCTCCAGGCCATCTATAAATCACTGCTAGGCAAATCCCCGCCTTATCTTAGCTCATTGGTCACCATAGCAGCACCCACCCGTAGTCTGCGCTCCAGCAGGTATATCTCACTGGTCATTCCCAAAGCCAACACCTCCTTTGGCCGCCATTCCTTCCAGTTCTCTGCTGCCAATGACTGGAACGAATTGCAAAAATCTCTGAAGCTGGAGACTCTTATCTCCCTCACTAACTTTAAGCATCAGTTGTCAGAGCACCTTACCGATCACTGCACCTGTACACAGCCCATCTGAAATTAGCCCACCCAACTACCTCATCCCTATATTGTTATTTATTTTGCTCTTTTGCACCCCAGTATCTCTATTTGCACATAATCTCTTGCACATCTAGCATTCCAGTGTTAATACTATTGTAATTATTTTGCACTATAGCCTATTTATTGCCTTACCTCCATAACTTGCTACATTTGCACACACTGTATATATATTTTCTGTTGTATTTTTGACTTAATGTTTTTTTTACCCCATATGTAACTCTGTGTTGTTGTTTTTATCGCACTGCTTTGCTTTATCTTGGCCAGGTCGCAGTTGTAAATGAGAACTTGTTCTCAACTGGCTTACCTGGTTAAATAAAGGTTAAATAAAAATAAATAACAAATAAATGATCTCTAATATTATCCTGACATTTCACATTCTTAAAATAAAGTGGTGATCCTAACTGACCTAAAACAGGGAAGTTTTACTAGGATTAAATGTCAGGAATTGTGAAAAACTGAGTTTAAATGTAAACTTCCGACTTCAACTGTATATGGACAAGCAATGACAGAGCA